AGATCACATAATATACAAGATGTTATAGCAAGTTATAACAAGAGTGAGTCCTATTTCAACTGACAATAAAAACTCAAATGTAACAACAGCCAGCCATTCATTACAACAGACAGCAGAATCTACTCAACTCAACAATAAACTAGCAAGTAACTCCTAGAATCTCTTCCATGTTGTAGATGCGTACTTAGACACAAATATCATAATAGTGCATCTCAGCCGATTACCATCTAGATACTGCCTAGTGAGTAGCCAGCCCAGTCAATCGTGACACTCACTGTCATGTCACATGACATTCAGAAAGATTTCATGGAATTCTTTGACAAGGCTCCTCGGTTCCAATATGTAATTATGGACACAGTTCCAAAGCATTGACATCATCACCAGACGGGATTTCATTACTCCTAAAGTGATGTTCTTGTGGTCTCAGTCCGAGTACGTGTCCCCCTGTTTATTTGCTGCGGCTATACGGGAGACGCGCCCTTAGTATCCCTCGTCAAAGTATATTCAACTTTGGCCTTCGCCCTAATTCTCTTCTGCTTTCTCCTCGGGAACTAAGTTCACTAACCTGTGACTTTCCCGCCAATCATGCAGATTTTACTAGGAATGGCCTCTGAGGTTAATACAGTTTGGGGGGACACACATCAAGTGTAGGTGCCTTTGTTTGCTGTAATGTTACCTCTTTACGACCGTGACTTCTAATCTTCGTTAGCACGTATTTGTAAGTTTCTTGTGTGTTGTCTCCGGGCAAGATTCTCGGTCTTTGACTCTAGGTAGTCTCTTGCAAAGGTTTAACAGAATGTATCAGTTTGTTGTCCTAGTTGACTGTTCATTTCTTGACTTGACGGTGCTTCCCACGGCCACACACACACACACACACACACACACACACACACACACACACACACACTTAGTTACTATATACCACTGAATGTTCTGTAGACATACTTCGTTCTCTAGACAATCGGTAACGCTCAGATTCACGCAGAAGTATTCAGTAGAAACATTGGGCAGTAAATTTTGGCAGTTACAAATGGCCAGATATTTAAAATCGCTGAAGGCTGATTGGGTAACCCAGTCTTCAGGTTCACTCGCATTTACTGGCCCAGACCACATGTGCCAGCGCCAGACAGAGAATGTTCTTTGTGTCACATACCGCTCCTGTCACGTGCCTGATTTAAGAATTTCTCCTTAAGAACCAACAGCACTCTGTAATAATAATGTTGAGTCGTTGGCTCGTATTGGTCTAAGGGATATCCCGTGGCCAATATACGCTTAACTTATTTCAGGAGTAGGGCAGCTCAAGCTTTGGCACTACAAAATATATAAAATTCCTAGGCACACTTGGCTGGACACCCCCACTACTATAAAAAGGTAGCCCCCATGTTATGATAGTATACTATCATAGCCATGTTAACACAGATTACACTTATTACTCACACAAACATGAAATCAAACATTGGACTCAAAGGGAGCTGTGGGAAGAGAGCATGTATGTGATTAAAAGATCACTTATCCCAGTTCGTAGGTTCAGTCCATGGTGATTCGACTGTGGTTGGCTCAATGGATAGCTATGCCTCGGTTTGATCTGGTACACGCTGACTGTCTTACATATGAAGACAAAGGAACTGCATAGGAGCCCAACAAAGCTCTTGAAGACTGATTCTCTGGATTGATGACATAGGTGTCTGCAATTGTCTACTAGTCCTGGAACGCACATACAAGCTCCTGCCATGTTGAGGTAGTGGCAACAATAGGTAGGACTTTTGGGTATGCTTTGTGCCCAGAATGGTATGGGTTGGTGGTTGTTGGCTGGACTGTGATTCGTCTGCCTGATCTCTAAGGAGGTATCATCCTGTCAGGAAAGAACTCAGAATTAGTATCATCCTTATTCACACACCAGCTCACCTTACACTCTGCTACCTTTCTCCATTCCTCAGAGTGTAACTCTCAAGAACAGGGGACAATGTCTCCTTTCATTTATCTGTCTGTAAATTAGTACACCAGATAGAAGACAAGGTATATAGTGGAGATAGATAGACACTACCACACAGACGTACAATGTATCCCGTTAGTACATATATATATATATATTTCACGTCTCCACAGGCTGCTCACTACACACCCAGTGTTTTCGTGCCAAACACACCTTTGACTCAGAGCGTCTAGCTCTGACGTCACAGAATCTAGCTGGTTAAAAGATGACCCATATTCCATATTCCTGCAATTAGACACAAAACTTCGTTTGTCTGGTCAGAGAATAATTATTTGTAGGGTTTAGAATCTTTACAAATGGTGTGGGTTATGTAGAGCACAAACTATTTAGTCTGCACAGGGAAAGGTTTAATGTTCGGAGCCTGATCTCTGGACATCAAGAATGGCCCAACTCTATGCGATCACACAGCTGAATCTTCCCTCTCTGCAGCAGTGGCCAACTTTAAAAAGATATATTATGGTACTCGTAAACTATAATCAACTTACCCAAGCTTAGGAATTCTTCAAAGATAAAACTGGTACTCTGAATGCGCCAATTTTATTCATAGACTGTATACACGTCTTGACACTTTGGAGATCAGGCTAAAGAATGCCGCTCAAAACCCCCGCTAGCGTCTCTAGGCATACTGTCTCTAGGAAAGAAGTCCCTGTATTCATGCACAAGGAGTAAACAGGCTTACAGGAATTTCTGAGTTACACACCAGAAATATTCATCCCACAGTTGCAAGTTTGAAAATGTAGACTTCTGAAAGCAACTAGAGGGTCTAGAAATGATTATTTCACCAGCTAGAGGTATATATCAACATAATGGACTATATACCCCTCCGGACGGGTTTAAGTTTGAAATGTGACGTGCCCGCTTAGGAAAGTCAGCGTCACGACTTTACCATAGTGTAGGGTTGGCTGTTCACTCCACGACACTTTGGTTCTTTCACACTCTTCTAATCATCCGTTAAATTCTCAGACATGTCTTTGGCATTGTTCACTTCTTCTTGTGTCCCACAACAATCGTGATAACCTCGTGATTGTCTTTTATGAACTATGCCTTTTTAGACCACGCCTCTTTGCACGTAAATTATGTTATGCAGATTAACTTGTATCATTAAAGGGAGGGGGAGACCAAGAACAAGAAGTTATCGTTTCCTATCGCGTACTGATCTTGTTGGTTATGCAAATATTGCGTCTTACTTCAATGTCTTTTTTTTTAAAGATTGATCAGTAGAAATGCTAAGTATCTGTTTAAGCAACTGTAGCCGAGCGGCTAAGAATTTGTTTTTATTTGCGAAACAATCTGGCAATTTCGAGGATCAGAAGTTTATAAAAGGGCTTGTCTAGCCAGAGAGTTTTTTTTTTACCTCTCCCCCCTCCGACCTCACCAGCCACGCCTCGCAGTCGCGCAGTCGTTTATGTTGTTAATGCAACGTCAGGTTGGTGAGTGGAGAAGGATGGAGTGGCTACTTCACGGTTTCGGTACTTCCCAGTGGTTAGTTTCGGTGCTAGACCTAAATTTCCATCAGTTTAGTAAAAGATTGTGTTTGTAAGATCTAGATAGCAGTGTGCGTCCTCGCTGGGAGATAGTTTGATTGCAGGTCACCAGAGAAGACTGTGTCAGAGTTGATTAAAAGTACACGAGACAAAAGGTTGTGGATAGACTACCAACGCCACACGGCATAGAGGATCATCCGTGTCAGAGCTGATTGAAAGTACACGAGACAGAAGGTTGTGGATATACTACTCACGCCACACGGCATGGAGGATCATCTGTGTCAGAGTTGATTGAAAGTAAACGAGACAGAAAGTTGTAGATAGACTACCCACGCCACATGGCATGGAGGATCATCTGTGTCAGAGCTGATTGAAAGTACACGAGACAGAAGGTTGTGGATAGACTACTCACGCCACACGGCATGGAGGATCATCTGTGTCAGAGTTGATTGAAAGTAAACAAGACAGAAAGTTGTAGATAGACTACCCACGCCACACAGCATAGAAGATCATCTGTGTCAGAGTTGATTGAAAGTAAACGAGACAGAAAGTTGTAGATAGACTACCTACGCCACACGGCATGGAGGATCATCTGTGTCAGAGTTGATTGAAAGTAAACAAGACAGAAAGTTGTAGATAGACTACCCACGCCACACGGCATGGAGGATCATCTGTGTCAGAGTTGATTGAAAGTAAACAAGACAGAAAGTTGTAGATAGACTACCCCCGCCACACGGCATGGAGGATCGTCTGTGTCAGAGTTGATTGAAAGTAAACAAGACAGAAAGTTGTAGATAGACTACCCACGCCACACGGCATGGAGGATCATCTGTGTCAGAGTTGATTGAAAGTAAACAAGACAGAAAGTTGTAGATAGACTACCCACGCCACACGGCATGGAGGATCGTCTGTGTCAGAGTTGATTGAAAGTAAACAAGACAGAAAGTTGTAGATAGACTACCCACGCCACACGGCATGGAGGATCATCTGTGTCAGAGTTGATTGAAAGTAAACGAGACAGAAAGTTGTAGATAGACTACCCACGCCACATGGCATGGAGGATCATCTGTGTCAGAGCTGATTGAAAGTAAACAAGACAGAAAGTTGTAGATAGACTACCCACGCCACACGGCATGGAGGATCATCTGTGTCAGAGCTGATTGAAAGTAAACAAGACAGAAAGTTGTAGATAGACTACCCACGCCACACGGCATTGACTTTAAAAAGAAGAAGGGGTGAGTAACACATCGTGTGGTCGAGCGCGTGGGTGGTTGTTGACGTACAAGAATCCCCTTAGGTTTCGCTTCTAGTATACAAACAATATCTGTGTGGTGTATGCTGCTGTCGTTTCATGAGGTTTTAAATGTGTATGTCTTGTCGGAGAAGACAAAGACCTACTTTGGGAGATAATATCCGGCAACAGACTTGAACAATTACAAGGTTTTGTAAGAATTTTGTGAAAAGATGTTTAATGGTGAATAAATTAACTCATTGATTATAACACTGGCATATTTTCTAATCCAATGTTCACAGCACTGGCCCAGTCAGCAGCAGCAGGTTTGACCCAAGAGATCCCGCCTGTCCTTGACCGTCAGATCAAAGCCAAATCTTTAGTGAATGAAACAACAGCTCTTCGACCAATCGACAGTAAAGTAACTTTTACAGAACCTCGCCCTAGGCTTGACAATAGATCTACAGAGAAGAAAGAAATCTCTACAAATCAACTGCAAGCCAAGAAATCATCAAAGCTGCTAATCGTTGTTGACACCATTTTGACATTTGTCTTTATTGGACCTTTAGTGTCCATATATTGGTACAGCACGTGGGCCTTGTGTGATTATTATATATTCAGGAGTAATCTGGAAGCTTCATACTGGACATCGTTTACCGTGGGCTGTACTGTCATAGCCATAGCTACACTTTTGCAAGATGAAATAGTCATATTTTCTGACAATCGCAGGAAACCTTTTCGATACATTCTGATGCGAGTATTTACTTACATCTTGAGCGTGGCCAGTGTCAGCCAGTGGAGGGGTGTCTGGGATCTGGAGGACTACTACACTGGCATCTCTTCCGTCAACGCCGCGTTAACCTACATCTCTGTAACAGTAGTGCTCATCTGTCTGCGAGGCCAACGCTCTGCTCTGTGCTCACCCACGACACTGTGCGTGGACGTCAGGCCGGCAGATCATTACAAGCTGGCAACATTCTGGAACATTCCAGTAAGTCAACAATATTCTTCAAAAACAATTACATTCAGGATTAGCGAAACAAAGTAAACATTTATATGTTGAAGGGGCCTCTAAGCCCTGTTATAAATATTTTACTAAGCATGTTGTAGGGTTTGGGGTAAAGGGACTGGTTGATTTTCTATTTTACCCGAACTAGGCGAAATATGGGTTGTTCTTGAACATCCGAACATGAAACTTTTTACATTTAAGTAACTGGGCTACTCTTCTTTCTCATGGGTCAACTGTGTATTCATGTAATCTTTTTGCGACTCAGTCTCACAGTCTATCTATGACCTTACAATTTGAACTCAGTGATGACTAAGGTCAGCTAGACCTGCAGTTAGTTGATGCCTGCGCTTCTTCTTGTAGACACGTTTATCTTGATTGTCAGATTGTGTAGTCAGTTTGTTTGGGGAGGGAGTGAGGAATGTAGAGCCTACATCTAGGTTTGACTCCCCTGGGACACTCGTTGTTTAATGCTGAACTGAAAGATGTGGCAAATTTCAACAACAATAAGCCAAACGACTGCAGATGAAAAGCTTTACATTTCTAGTTTGTTTTTCACCCTTTGCTATTCTCCAAGTGGGTGGTCCCGTTTGATGTTGCTATATCTAAAATATTAAAACGCGATAAATGTTGCTATGCTTCGGGAAAATAAACAGGAATGAGTTTCATAATTTAAACCACCTTATAGCAAAGCATCCAAGATGAACCGCTAAACTACCCTACGAGTTCTTCTTCTTCATCTTCTTCTCATTTTTTTTTCTTCTTCTCCTCCTTCCTCTCCTCTTCCTCCTTCTTGTTCCTTCTTCTCTTCTTCCTCCTCCTCCTCCTCTTCTTCTTCTTCTTTTTCTTCTTCTCCTCCTTCTTCTCCTCCTCCTCCTCCTTCTACTTCTTCTTCTTCTTCTTCTTCTTCTTCTTCTTCTTCTTCTTCTTCTTCTTCTTCTTCTTCTTCTTCTTCTTCTTCTTCTTCTTCTTCTTCTTCTTCTTCTTCTTCTTCTTCTTCTTCTTCTTCTTCTTCTTCTTCTTCTCCTCCTTCTTCTTCCTATTCTTTGTCTTTTTTTTCTCCTCCCTCTCCTCCTCTTCCTCCTTCTTGTTCTTCTTCTTGTTCTTTTTTTCTCCTCCTTCTCCTTCTTCTTCTTCTTCTTCTTCTTCCTCTTCATCATCTTCTTCTTCTTCTTCTTCTTCCTCTTCTTCTTCTTTTTCATCATCATCATCTTCTTCTTCTTCTTCTTCTTCTTCTTCTTCTTCTTCTTCTTCTTCTTTCTTCTTCTTCGCACTCATCCGCTCGAAGTCAGAGGAAACTTGTGGTTGTCCGTCCTCTTCTGGACTTATGTATTGTTTCAGAACTTCAAATATGCATCCGTCTCACAGATCTAGTTTGTTTGTATTCAGACAGCTTGTGTCTTATCTCTCAGGCAGATACACCCCTAATTAATTAAATTTTGCTATATGGTTTTCAGGAGGCGGTTGGTCTGCTCTGTACCCTCCACACCAGCACGCCTCCCTACGTCACCGTATAGATGTGTAGATTTGCCAGCTCTCCTTCCTACGTCACTGTATTGATGTGTAGATTTGCCAGCACTCCTCCCTACGTCACCGTATTGATGTGTAGATTTGCCAGCTCTCCTTCCTACATCACTGTATTGATGTGTAGATTTGCCAGCACGCCTCCCTACGTCACTGTGTTGATGTGTAGATTTGCCAGCACTCCTTCCTACGTCACTGTATTGATGTGTAGATTTGCCAGCACTCCTCCCTACGTCACCGTATTGATGTGTAGATTTGCCAGCACTCCTTCCTACGTCACTATATTGATGTGTAGATTTGACAGCACTCCTCCCTACGTCACCGTATTGATGTGTAGATTTGCCAGCTCTCCTTCCTACGTCACTGTATTGATGTGTAGATTTGCCAGCTCTCCTTCCTACGTCACTGTATTGATGTGTAGATTTGCCAGCACGCCTCCCTACGTCACTGTGTTGATGTGTAGATTTGCCAGCACTCCTTCCTACGTCACTGTATTGATGTGTAGATTTGCCAGCACTCCTCCCTACGTCACCGTATTGATGTGTAGATTTGCCAGCACTCCTTCCTACGTCACTATATTGATGTGTAGATTTGACAGCACTCCTCCCTACGTCACCGTATTGATGTGTAGATTTGCCAGCTCTCCTTCCTACGTCAATGTATTGATGTGTAGATTTGCCAGCACTCCTTCCTACGTCACCGTATTGATGTGTAGATTTGCCAGCACTCCTTCCTACGTCACTATATTGATGTGTAGATTTGCCAGCACTCCTTCCTACGTCACTGTATTGATGTGTAGATTTGCCAGCACTCCTCCCTACGTCACTATATTGATGTGTAGATTTGCCAGCTCTCCTTCCTACGTCACTATATTGATGTGTAGATTTGCCAGCACTCCTTCCTACGTCACTATATTGATGTGTAGATTTGCCAGCTCTCCTTCCTACGTCACTATATTGATGTGTAGATTTGCCAGCACTCCTTCCTACGTCACTATATTGATGTGTAGATTTGCCAGCACTCCTTCCTACGTCACTATATTGATGTGTAGATTTGCCAGCTCTCCTTCCTACGTCACTATATTGATGTGTAGATTTGCCAGCACTCCTTCCTACGTCACTATATTGATGTGTAGATTTGCCAGCTCTCCTTCCTACGTCACTATATTGATGTGTAGATTTGCCAGCACTCCTTCCTACGTCACTGTATTGATGTGTAGATTTGCCAGCACTCCTTCCTACGTCACTATATTGATGTGTAGATTTGCCAGCACTCCTCTCTACGTCACTGTATTGATGTGTAGATTTGCCAGCACTCCTCCCTTCGTCACTGTATTGATGTGTAGATTTGTCAGCAGTCCTCCCTACGTCACTGTATTGAAGTGTAGATGTGCCAGCATTCCTGCCTACGTCACTGTATCCATGTATAGATTTGCCATCACCTGATGCATCCCCTTTCTACGTCACTGGATTGATGTGTAGATTGGCCAGCAGTCCTCCCTACGTCACTGTATCCATGTTTGGTTAGCCATCCTCAAAAACAGATGATAGTTTCACATCGAAGTTTCCTTCTACTGAACAAAAAGCAATAACTGTCTCGCGCCATGATGATTCAGCCAATGGGCATCCTTTCCACACCTTCTCTATTATGTGTGTGAACGCAAACCCAATTTCCCGATGTATGGTCGTCTTTAACTACTAATATTTTGTGAAAAAATTCAAATGCATTACATTTTCTCTACCTCAGCCTGGTCCGTCCTTGAAATTTGTGCTAGATACACTGTGCACGGCGTTTGTGATAGAGCCTCTTACCATTTCTGTTTGGAGAGGATTGTGGGAGCTCATCGACTGTCAAGTGTACCACGATGACGAAAAGATGAGAATCGTGGTGTGTATGGTTGGCTACCTGGGAACGGCTTTCATTGTCAGCCTGTTACAAGTAAGTGATAACCTGTATGGTGTGTCTACAACGTTGAACTGACTGACAAAGTTGCGACATACGGATAACTATGCTTTTTTTTTAGCAGTAAAAAAAAATTACTTAAGTTTTTCTACTGTCCAAAATGTGACCTTTCATATACAAATAATTTATCATTTAGCAGTTTGTTTGCATAATGCCCCACCAACGCTATTCCTGGCATTCCTTGTATGGATCTCATGAAATGTTTCACTACCAAATGGATAAATTTGGCGATAGTGCATTCCCTGACTAACATCGTGTTGATTATTCATACTTTCCAACATCGTTGTCAATTCTTTTGGGCTGCTTCTTGATGTCAGTTATTTTTTATTTTGTACATGTTCGATAGAATGTAAATGGTTTCCAGCATTCTAATAATTGTTTAATGCTTCATGTACTTTAGTATAATCAGCAAAACACAAAAACATATATATGTCAACTTCAGTCATTGATTTTTATTAGTGCTCTCAACATAAACGTGACACATACATACATACATACATACATACATACATACATACATACATACATACATACATACATACATACATACATACATACATACATACATACATACATACATACATACATATCTTTCTACCTACCTAACTACCTAACTACAAAACAGAACAGACAGACAGACAGACAGACAGACAGACAGACAGACAGACAGACAGACAGACAGACAGACAGACAGACAGACAGACAGACAGACAGACAGACAGACAGACAGACAGAGACAGACAGACATACTGGTGGTCTAGTTTATTGACCAGTAATGGGTCATTAACCTGTTAAGTTGACTCAACAATATGCTAATTAACTACGTCACGAACAGTTATTGACGGGGTGAAGATATTCTATCGTCTTTGCGAACATTTGGAAACCCAGACACGAAGTTAAAGCGAGGCCGAGGTACACAGAGGGGGGTACAGAGGTACATAGAAACACGGGAACACAAATATCTCTACATGCAAAGTCAATCTCAATATGCATGCAAAAAAAAAAAAGAGAAACAAATAACAATCTAAAAGACACACACACACACACACACACACACACACAACACACACACACACACAAACCACGGATTTGTATCTTGGTAAATAAGCAGATACAGAGGTTAAACAGCAGACAGGTAGGCAAGCAGATAGATAGATGGACAATCAAATAGACAGACAGGCAAGCATGCAAGTAGACAGGCAAACAGACCGATGGAAGGACGCACAAATGAATGGATAGATAGATAGATAGATAGATAGATAAATAGATAGATAGATAGATAGATAGATAGATAGATAGATAGATAGATAGATAGATAGATAGATAGATAGATAGATAGATAGATAGATAGATAGATAGATAGATAGATAGATAGATAGATAGATAGATAGATAGATAGATAGATAGATAGATAGATAGATAGATAGATAGATAGATAGATAGATAGATAGATAGATAGATAGATAGATAGATAGATAGATAGATAGATAGATAGATAGATAGATAGATAGATAGATAGATAGATAGATAGATAGATAGATAGATAGATAGATAGATAGATAGATAGATAGATAGATAGATAGATAGATAGATAGATAGATAGATAGATAGATAGATAGATAGATAGATAGATAGATAGATAGATAGATAGATAGATAGATAGATAGATAGATAGATAGATAGATAGATAGATAGATAGATAGATAGATAGATAGATAGATAGATAGATAGATAGATAGATAGATAGATAGATAGATAGATAGATAGATAGATAGATAGATAGATAGATAGATAGATAGATAGATAGATAGATAGATAGATAGATAGATAGATAGATAGATAGATAGATAGATAGATAGATAGATAGATAGATAGATAGATAGATAGATAGATAGATAGATAGATAGATAGATAGATAGATAGATAGATAGATAGATAGATAGATAGATAGATAGATAGATAGATAGATAGATAGATAGATAGATAGATAGATAGGTAGATAGGTAGGTAGGTAGGTAGGTAGGTGGGTGGGTGGGTAGGTAGGTAGGTAGGTAGGTAGGTAGGTAGGTAGGTAGGTAGGTAGGTAGGTAGGTAGGTAGGTAGGTAGGTAGGTAGGTAGGTAGGTAGGTAGGTAGGTAGGTAGGTAGGTAGAGAGAGAGATAGAGAGAGAGAGAGATAGACAGATAGAGAGATAGACAGATAGACAGATAGACAGATAGAGAGATAGACAGATAGAGAGATAGACAGATAGAGAGATAGACAGATAAAGAGATAGACAGATAGATAGATAGATAGATAGATAGATAGATAGATAGATAGATAGATAGATAGATAGATAGATAGATAGATAGATAGATAGATAGATAGATAGATAGATAGATAGATAGATAGATAGATAGATAGATAGATAGATAGATAGATAGATAGATAGATAGATAGATAGATAGATAGATAGATAGATAGATAGATAGATAGATAGATAGATAGATAGATAGATAGATAGATAGATAGATAGATAGATAGATAGATAGATAGATAGATAGATAGATAGATAGATAGATAGATAGATAGATAGATAGATAGATAGATAGATAGATAGATAGATAGATAGATAGATAGATAGAGAGATAGAGAGATAGAGAGATAGAGAGATAGAGAGATAGAGAGATAGAGAGATAGAGAGATAGATAGATAGATAGATAGATAGATAGATAGATAGATAGATAGATAGATAGATAGATAGATAGATAGATAGATAGATAGATAGATAGATAGATAGATAGATAGATAGATAGATAGATAGATAGATAGATAGATAGATAGATAGATAGATAGATAGATAGATAGATAGATAGATAGATAGATAGATAGATAGATAGATAGATAGATAGATAGATAGATAGATAGATAGATAGATAGATAGATAGATAGATAGATAGATAGATAGATAGACAGATAGACAGATAGACAGATAGATAGACAGATAGATAGACAGATAGATAGATAGAACGAACGAACGAAAGAACTTTATTTTCAAAGGGTCACAAATTGGGCGCGCAGGCCCTTCTTACATTCGGCCCTTCCAGTCAACCATCTTTCGCACAGCAGTTGTGTTTTACTAATAAAGCATGTTATGATCATATGATGTTATGCATATTATGAATATTATAAAAGAACACAAAAGCATGAGTTGTAAAGTGCATGCAAAAACCCGCGCGTGCATACATACACCCACATACACACGCTTACCCAAACCCTTTACACACACAAACATGCATGCAAACATAACATACACACATACATACACACATACATTCAAACATGCATACACACATACACACAGGCATACGTACACACAAACATACATACATAGATACAAACATACAGGCATACATACATACATACATACATTCATACATACATACGTAATACAGGCATACACACATACAGTCATAAATACATTCATGCATGGAGACACACACATGCACACACGGACACTCCCACAGAGACACACACACTCAGACAAAAATACAGTCACACACAGACACTTACATATAAACACACACAGGGAAACACACAGCACACATATTTACATTCGTGCTCACACACTGACACACACACCACACATACGCAGACACATACATATAGCCACATAGACACACACACATTCAAACACACACACACACACACACAAATACAGACAAACAGGCAGACAAACACATACTGACACCCACAGAGACATACACGCAGAAATGCATACACATACAAACACATAGAAATACACACGCAGACACATATATTCAGCACGCACAGACATATACTCTGACATGCAGACACATACAGACAACAAAGGGGCACATACAACACACACAGAGAAACACACATAGACATGCACAGACAGACAGACAGACACATGCTGACACATACACTCACGCAGACAGACATACAGAAACCCACGCACAGAGATACATACATACAGCCTCATAGACACACCCGCAGACAAAACACATAAACATACACAGGCAAACATGAAGACAAACACATACGGGGACACACACAGACACAAACGAAGATATACACAGTCACATCAAATATGCAGAAAAACACCGAGACACACACACATGCAGACAAACACAGAGACACACACACAGACACATATTCACAGCTACTTGTATCCAATCGCACACACACACATGCAGACACACATACACAGCAAAGAGGCACACTTAAACACAGAAACCAGTTCACACTGAAACATACACGTGGACATACGCGCGAACACACACACATTGGCACATACACAAGGACACAGACGCATACATTCGCAGACACACACGCAGATACACAAGCAGACAAACAATATACTCAGAGTCATATGTATACAAACACGCCTACACATACATACATATCAAGCACACACGCGCGCACAAACATACTTATCATACACACCTTGTTTAATAATAAATTGATAATGCAATATGGGTTACATTACATTCAAGGTGGCATATAATCGCTTGTAAGTATGAATTGAAAAAGTTTACGGTTAAATGAATAGGGACTTTTATAATTTTTCAGGTCTAGTGGAAGTTGGTTCCACAAATGAGCCGCGGAGTACGCTAAACTTGTTTTATATAAATCTATTCTAGCTTTAGGTAAATGTAATAAATTTAGTCGCTTGCTATTTATAGGATTTGATTTAATTAATCGGAAAAGGTAGTTTGGGGTATTTTGAGATAAAATTTTATGAATAAATTTGGCCTTGTTAAAAATTAAACGTTTGCTAAATGGCAATAGTCTTAGATGGTTATAGAGATTATTGTTTACGATATGTTAATTATCTGAAACCAGGCGTAAAGCACGATTTTGAAGAGAACTTAGTCTTTTAACATTGGATTTGGCGCAACCATCCCAAACTGTGGAACAATAGTCGACATGTGTTTGGATGTAAGACGCGTAAAATACTTTTCTTGCATCTTCGTCTAGAAAGTGCTGAATTTTTGCAAACTGATAAACTTTTTGTGCTATTTTCTTAGTTATGACAGAAACTTGAGAATTCCAGGTTAAATGGTTGTCAATTGTAAGGCCTAAAGTTTTGTGTTCCGTTACATTAACAATAGGTAATTTATCAATGTAGAGCTCGAGTTTCGGCTTGTGCAGTACTAATGTTTGCAACTTTTGTCTGGTTGTTATAAGCATAGACTTCGTTTTATTTATGTTAATTTGCATGCGATTGCTGTTGCTCCATTTACAAAGATTGTGTACTTCTTTCTGTAAAGATCTTTCTAACTCATTACGATTCTCAGATAGATAGATAGATAGATAGATAGATAGATAGATAGATAGATAGATAGATAGATAGATAGATAGATAGATAGATAGATAGATAGATAGATAGATAGATAGATAGATAGATAGATAGATAGATAGATAGATAGATAGATAGATAGATAGATAGATAGATAGATAGATAGATAGATAGATAGATAGATAGATAGATAGATAGATAGATAGATAGATAGATAGATAGATAGATAGATAGATAGATAGATAGATAGATAGATAGATAGATAGATAGATAGATAGATAGATAGATAGATAGATAGATAGATAGATAGATAGATAGATAGATAGATAGATAGATAGATAGATAGATAGATAGATAGATAGATAGATAGATAGATAGATAGATAGATAGATAGATAGATAGATAGATAGATAGATAGATAGATAGATAGATAGATAGATAGATAGATAGATAGATAGATAGATAGATAGATAGATAGATAGATAGATAGATAGATAATAGATAGAGATAGATAGATAGATAGATAGATAGATAGATAGATAGATAGATAGATAGATAGATAGATAGATAGATAGATAGATAGATAGATAGACAGATAGATAGATAGATAGACAGACAGACAGACAGACAGACAGACAGACAGACAGACAGACAGACAGACGGATGGATGGAAGGACAGACAGACAGACAGACAGACAGACAGACAGACAGACAGACAGACAGACAGACAGACAGACAGACAGACAGACAGACAGACAGACAGACAGACAGACAGACAGACAGGCTTTATATATATATATATATCTGCCAGGGGCCGTTGGGCTTCGTTTTGCAACGTCCTGAAGAGGATAAGCAGCAACCTTTTATATATATATATATAAGCTTAGTTGCGTTGCATAACCAACCCCAACAGCCCATTGCTGTGTCCAGTAGTTTGCCATTGCTTTCTGGAATATATATATATATATATATATATATATATATATATATATATATATATATATATACACCCACATACATATACACACACACTCACACACACGAATAATATGTAATTTTTATTATTTATTTTTTTTAGGTGGGTAAGGAGGGAGAGAAGGTGGGAGGGGGGGGGGGAGGTTGATATTTCTGTGTGTTTCAAAACTTGTGTTTCTTGCTTCTACATCATAAGATGGTGTTCTAACAGCTGACCGGTTACACAGGCATCTGGTTGAATCTAGCTATGACTAGGCGCCACGAATTACCGCGGCTCGAGGAATTTCACGCCAGCCGGGGAATGAACTATATTAACCTAAATGCCGCGACAATACAATGTCGGCAAAAGGCGATTGGCCGGTCGAATTGTTCCGTATACCTGGGGTCACGAACGCATCTAGTCACGAACAAATCTGCCCAGAAACACAACTGTTGTAGAAAAAAGTTGACTCTACCCGCGAACAATGCCTGGGCGCACGAACGCACAAATATGACTTCGCTCCTTGTTTTGGCTCGCGAACAATATCGGTTGTACACAGGTTTGATACAAGCTTTCTATCCCCCATTTAATTAAGCCTCATTAAAAGAAAGTGAGGCAAAAGAAGGGCGAGGGGTTTGGTAGCAAAAGTGAATGGTCGACGTTTGGTGCATTAGAGCCTAGCATATGATACCACAACATCCAGCTTAGGAATCGAGGTGGAGGCGGTCACTGCAGCTTCCAGCTGATTAGAGTACACAAAACACATACATCGTGATTGTAAGTGATTCAGAAAGCATGCTGAGGAAGGTCAGGACAGTCATGCTTCATGCAGAGTGATATACTTCACTGCGGAGGTCACGGGTGAGGAGTATTATCTGGATTTTTTCTCCGGTCACGCCGGTGTGTTGGGAAATGAACAGGCGGACAAACTTGCTGGCTCTGCACAACTTGGTGGAATACTGATGCATGAAAAGGTTGGTGCCTTGTGGGAGAGCGTGTACAGCTCGGAGGAGCAGATGCATCACCACAGTCTGGTGAGATTGTTGCAGTGGAATCTGACGAGAGGTTCTGGCAGATACTCTCCAAATGCCAGCGTCTGTGGCGTAGGCGTCACGAACGTGCTTCGTAATGCCGGAGTCGATCCCAGCTGCGGGCTTTTTGATTTGCATTGGTTTCCACAGTGGTCCTGAGAGCTGACCGTGCAGATGGCAATGACAAACTGCTGAACGCCCAAAAAAATAGTGGCGTTGGTTCTGCAACGTTCTGTAAAGGATACGCAACTAACCTTGATTTCCCGATGTATAAGACGTACTTATTTTTAAAAATGAAGGGTCTAAAAACAGTGTACGATTTAAATAAACCTGATACTTGGGGAAACAGATGCCTAGAGTTATACATTGCAATGATGGTATTGCCTATGACGCGCTGCGGTAAACCGAGGAATTTGACACAGCATGCTGCGGTAAATCATGGACCCTGGTTATGTCTGTTCTGCTGCGGTAAATAATGGACCCTGGTTATGTCTGTTCTGCTGCGGTAAATCATGGACCCTGGTTATGTCTGTTCTGCTGCGGTAAACCATGGACCCTGGTTATGACTGTTCTGCTGCGGTAAATCAGGGACCCTGGTTATGACTGTTCTGCTGCGGTAAATCAGGGACCCTGGTTATGACTTCTGCTGCGGTAAAATCGTGGACCCTGGTTATGACTGTTCTGCTGCGGTAAATCAGGGACCCTGGTTATGATTGTTCTGCTGCAGTAAATCAAGGACCCTGGTTATGTCTGTTCTGCTGCGGTAAATCAGGGACCCTGATTATGACTGTTCTGCTGCGGTAAATCATGGACCCTGGTTATGACTGTTCACTGTTAAATCTATATCTATTGTGACTAGTTAGGTTTTATCTTTTTATCATGAATCTGATTTAGAGTTCTATAATCGGGAATTACTTCCTATACATAGCACTATTGTTTTTGTTTATTCTTTAGGTACCAATACAACGACTAGCTGCTTATCTCGAAAACGTAAACTGGTACTTAATGCTGGCATTTGAAAACCTGATAACAGCCCTGTATGTAGCGCTGTCAGTCACCAGCTGGAGAGGTCAGTCAAATCACACAATAGTCAACTCTGTATTGCACTTACTCCACAATCAGACATTTCATGTATAAAAGGTAAATAATATCACCTCCTGGTCGCTTGGAAGGATACTTTCTGTTACATAAATACCTGTTGATTAGTACTTTTACAAAAATATAATCTATGCTGAAAACGGATAAATTGTAAAAATCCTACGCACATAAATAAAAACAAACGCCTTTATTCAAAGTCAGCAGCTAAAAGAGATCAGGAAGGTCAGTGTCAAGAACCCACTTTGCCGCGAAGGTGTGTGACTCGTGTGTAGGCTCATGACAAGAACAACCTTTGCCGCGAAGATATATGGCTCGTGTGTAGGCTCGTGACAAGAACCCACTTTGTCGTGAAGGTGTATGGCTCGTGTGTAGGCTCGAGACAAAAACCCACTTTGCCGCGAAGGTGTGTGGCTCGTGTGTAGGCTCATGGCAAGAACCCACTTTGCCATGAAGGTATATGGCTCGTGTGTAGGCTCGTGACAAGAACCCACTTTGCCGCGAAGGTATATGGCTCGTGTGTAGGCTCGTGACAAGAACCCACTTTGTCGTGAAGGTGTATGGCTCGTGTGAAGGCTCGAGACAAGAACCCACTTTGCCGCGAAGGTGTGTGGCTCGTGTGTAGGCTCGTGACAAGAACCCACTTTTCCGTAAAGGTGTGTGGCTCGTGTGTAGGCTCGAGACAAGAACCCACTTTGCCGTAAAGGTGTGTGGCTCGTGTGTAGGTTCGAGACAAGAACCCACTTTGCCGTGAAGGCATGTGGCTCGTGTGTAGGCTCGTGACAAGAACCCACTTTGCCATAAAGGTGTATGGCTCGTGTGTAGGCTCGTGACAAGAACCCACTTTGCAGTAAAGGTGTGTGGCTCGTGTGTAGGTTCGAGACAAGAACCCACTTTGCCGTAAAGGTGTGTGGCTCGTGTGTAGGCTCGAGACAAGAACCCACTTTGCCGTAAAGGTGTGTGGCTCGTGTGTAGGTTCGAGACAAGAACCCACTTTTCCGTAAAGGTGTGTGGGTCGTGTGTAGGCTCGAGACAAGAACCCACTTTGCCGTGAAGGTGTGTGGCTCGTGTGTAGGCCCGTGACAAGAACCCACTTTTCCGTAACGGTGTGTGGCTCGTGTGTAGGCTCGAGACACAAATGTCTATCCCTAAAGACAACTAGACCGGCACAACCGGAGCATACACATAATAAGTCTTTGTTATCATTGACATCAAGCAATACGGCAATTCACCGGGGAGAAAGTGGTTCGCCTTGCCAAACCCGTAGTTTATCTGGGAGAAAGTGGTTCGCCTTGCCAAACCCGTAGTTTATCTGGGAGAAAGTGGTTCGCTTTGCCAAGCCCGCAGTTTATCTGGGAGAAAGTGGTTCGCGTTGCCAAACCCACAGTTCACCTGGGAGAAAGTATTTCGCGTTGCCAAACCCGCAGTTTATCTGGGAGAAAGTGGTTCATGTCACGGGTAATCTTCGTTCGCCCTCGAGAGGGCCGTTGGCACTTTGTGTTGTGGTTTACAGCTAGGCTGCGATATCTGATGTAAACTCCACAGTCGTCGGTAGTATAGTTGTAAGTATGTCATCCTTCATGCGGGTGATCGGTGTTCGATTCCCTGCTGGGTGATAATTGTTCTTTTTCTCTCAAAAGGGTGGTTCCCACGTTGTGTTGTGGTTTACAGCTAGGCTGCGATATCTGCGCCTTTCGCCCAAAGACATCCGATTTCAGTGGACACGGATGCCAAGGTCAGTTAAAAATCGCTCCTTCGGAGAGGGAGAGATAACGGGTACGGGGTATTTTTCTCCGCTTTTCGTGAGTATAGTGTACTTTTCACTGTGGGTTCCATCACTGGTTACGAGATGAAGTTTTTTTTCTCCTATGTCCGGGGCAAAATCAAACTAAATAGTCCGTGGTGACAGCATGCGGCGCTAACTCCTCTTTTCTAGACCGACCTACACAGACTGTAGTGACAGTTTTTTGTTGTTGTTGTTGTTGTGATGGTGGTGGTGGTTGTGGTTGCAGTAGTATTGGTACTGGATGGGTGATGTGGTAGCTGTTACACTGCCTACATTAACTTCTCTGTACAAGGTAATGCTACCTATTTAAGTCTGGGTAGACACGGATGCCAAGCTCAATTTAGTTACAATATTTCGTTACACGGTGACTTTCCCATCCTTCGGCGATTATGATATGATTGGGGGAAAAGGAAAGGTTGGAAGGGTTATGCCAGACACAGTTAGCTGAGAGAGCTTAAAATATTATTTTAATGTTCTCATTTCATATATATATATATATATATATATATATATATATATATATATATATATATATATATATATATATATATACATATATATATATATATTAATTAGGGCTGTACGGAATAGTGATTTTCACTATTCGGCCGAATACGAATACGAATAGTGCATTATTATAATCAGGTGCCTTGCCGACTGGTGTGGGCGATTATGCCACGCCCAATCTGCGATCTCCTGCAGCATGTATTAGTTCGTGTACCGGCACACCTCCATGCCATGCAACAAGACTGTCAAGAATCTTCTCTCGTTGTCTTCCTCTATCCCTCCATCCACAGATCTTTCCAGTGGTCACCACATGTTCCATTTTTCCTCTTCTCATAACATGGCCAAAAATTGTTTTTTTTTTTTTTTTTTTGCTGTCCAAGGTATTTTAAGCATTGTTCTGTAAAACCACATCTCTGAGGCCTGCCTACCGATTGTCCAAGACTCACAGCCATATGTTAAAACTGGATGTATGTAGCAAGTAAGAAATTCTTTGTCTAACCTTCAATGACAAAGATATATTATATAAGATATTCTTCATTTTATAAAATGCAGTTTTTGCCTGTCCTGTTCTGTTTCTTTTTTCAGTAATGCATCTTCAATCTTCTTCTTCTTCGCGTTCACCAGCTGTACACTCTGGCGGAAAGTTCTGGTTGCTCGTCCACTACTGAACTGCAGTCCTGCTCCAGAACCTGAGTGTTGCGTGTGCATCAGTTTTACAGATCTCATTCTCTTGAATACAGACTGTTGGTTCCTTGCCTCTCCGGCAGATGCACTCCGATTTCAAAGGAAGCTCCCAAATTAGTCGACTCTTACGACATGCTTTTAGGGAGGCAGTGGGTCTATTCTTGTTTTCCCCTACAATGGGGCCCCGGAACCCACACGGGGGCATCTTCCATCTGATGTTATCCATGTGCCCAGATACTTAAATTTCTGTACTTGTCCCAAAATAACACCTTTGACTTTTATTACACATTTAGGAATAATTTGTTTCTTTGATACCACCATTACTTCTGTCAAACAGAGACTCATTCTTCCACTTTCGAATAGTGTATCGTGTATAAAATAAATCTTTAAAAAAAAAAAAAAAAAAAAAAATTCATAATGTCAAATGTACGCTGAAATTTTACTTCACAAAATGTAGTACAGAATAGTGAACATTAAAAAAAAAATTTCATGTTTTGCATCCTTCAGTCAGTCTGTCGTAACTATTACCTAAGAATAAAAGTATTCTTAGTTATGTAACAAGTAACTAAACTTGTAAATTGTCACTGACAGCTTTGTTAATGAAAGAAAGCGACTTTGGCAACAGGAACTATCGCAGTGTATGCAGAAATTGGTGTAAGGTAAACACTATTCGTATTCGGCCCGACCACAAGTATTCGGCCGAGTACCGAATAGTTATTAGATCCACTATTCGGCCTCGAAGCGAGTATAATGTGTAAAAAGTAAAGTGAAGGACCCTTGTTCACGCCTTTTACGCCTATTGTGTATATAGGTCTAGCCCTATATTTTATAGACCAACGGCATAAGATGGGTGATGCGGTCATTCCTACGCCGACCGCCTTTACTTCCCAGGGCTGCACCCGGTACTCACTCAGGGTTGGTTCGACCTAAGACCCAAGGTCATTTATGAAAAAAACCCGGTTCCGCCAGGGAGCGATCGCACGACCTCTTTCCGATCCGCAGGCGAGCTTCTAGACGCTAGACCACGACGACTTACATATAAAATGTGTGTGTCTTATATAGTAGATTCTCCCCCTATCCCCCTCTTCCTCTACACAGGATTCTGGCTAGTGTTTGAGCAGTACGCCCCACGCCAGCCAGGCTACCTTTGGCTGTATCATTACTTGAGTTTTGGGATCCTAGTGGCAGGACTGGCTGCGAATTCGGCAATGGTGTGTAGGTGATCGTGTGTATATCAATGTGTGTGTATGTGTGTGTATGGTGTGTGTGTGTGTGTGTGGTTCTGTGTGTGTGATTTCATCTATGTTTTCCCCGAGATAATTTGGAATCTGGGAACGTTTTGGAGAACGCACTAGTGGCACACAATATTAGTTATGGTAGAGTACTGATTTGAAAATTAACATCTTAGCAACCTGGACAATCTGAAGAGTGTCAGTAACAGTTTGATTATACAATATACCTTCGTCTAACCTTTCCTCAGAGCTTAAGTGTCGATCAGATCGCTTGGTGACGCCTAGCTCAACAGTTCTCTCCAGACTAAAATGTTATATTCGTGCCATCTCATTGAGTGACCATGAGTGATAGTCGATAGCAAGGAACGTCGGGTGGGTGCTTGGGAATTCGGAAGATGGACGTCTTTTTTGGACAGACTAGAGCCGTTTTCATAGCAAACAAACTCAATCTCCTGGACATATCTATTTTTATTATTAAAACTCTGATGGCTTAGAAAAAAAACTAACATGATGCATAACTGCTTTGGAGAATTCAAATTGATTAGCAAATGTCGCAGCTGTTCAGTTAACAGATGCATGGCAATTAACTCTCCCCCTCCCCAATTATATATATATATATATATATATATATATATATATATATATATATATATATATATATATGTGTGTGTGTGTGTGTGTGTGTGTGTGTGTGTGTGTGTGTGTGTGTTGTTGTGTGATAAATAAAAAATAGAGGAAGGGCACTTAATTGCAGGATCGTAGATGAGTGTACAAGCCGTTACAACATTATGCTTTGTGCGAAAATGTGTGCACTCAAACACATAGTAATAAAACTCGAAAATAGGTGCACAAAATATTTAACTCTTTCAGTCCCACGAAGTTTCACAGAAGATATCCAACGCAAATGATAGCCACAATGAAAAGAACACGAGTGCATAATTTTACCAGATGCAGCACTTACCCACATTCCATGAAACACAGACCCTGCACTTTCCCACATTCCATGAAACACAGACCCTGCACTTTCCCCCATTCCACGAAGCACAGACCCTGCACTTTCCCACATTCCACGAAGCACAGACCCTGCACTTTCCCACATTCCATGAAACACAGACCCTGCACTTTCCCACATTCTATGAAACACAGACCCTGCACTTTCCCACATTCCATGAAGCACAGACCCTGCCCTTTCCCACATTTCATGAAACACAGACCCTGCACTTTCCCACATTCCATGAAACACAGACCCTGTTTATAAGAAAACAACCGACAAGATTTTAACCGCAGAGTATCAAATCAAACCATGCGATGTGTGGTCCATTTAGACCATACCATATCGCACACGATATTTAGGACTAAAAAAGTTAATCTTTTACTAATAAAGAGACTATTTCTGCCAATATTTAGTTTCTCATAATATGTAATATTCCTATAAGAATGGGTTAGAATAGATTGCTTTAGAATAAAGTGAAACAGAGTAAAAACTGATTTGTTGCCTGTTTGTCATAAAGTTTAAATTGTGTTTCACTTTCAGACACAAGTCAGTCCAAGAGATGGTTCTCTGCCAGATGGCCAAGGTGCTACGCTAGAATTATCTTATACTGCAAGAATCATTTCAGCTTGGCGTTCGAAAACGGATTTCAGTTGCGCTATCATCAACTCCATATTTGCTGAAAGTGACTCTGTGAAAACATAGTTTTGACTATGCAACTTCTAGCAGAAGCTAACATGTTTTCTGTACAAGTTATTAAACTGCTCTTGTATATTATGGACTACAGTTGTACAGACCCAGATTAATGCATATTTCTCGTTTGGCTCAACATAAAAACTTAAAACAAACCTTCCCACCCACCCACGACGACATTTACTAAAAAATAGGCACACATTTACAAATATGTAAACCCCCCCCCCCCCCCCCCCCCCCCCCCCCGCACACACATACAGATATGTGTACATATATATATACCTATATGTAGATATAGCTTCTTCTTCTTCACGTTCACCGGCTGTAAAACTCCGGCGGAAAGTTCTGGCTGTTCGTCCACCTCTAGACTGCAGTATTGTTTCAGAACCTGAGTGTTGCGTGTGCATCAGTTTGACAGATCTGACTGATCTATGTGCAGACTGTTGGTTCCTTGTTTCTCAGGCAGATGCACTCCGACTTCGAAGGAAGCTCCCAATTAGTCGACTCTTGCGACATGCGTTTGTGTAGGCAGGGGGTCTATTCTTGTTTTCCCTATTATAGGGCCCAGGAACCCAGACGGAACCTATAGCTCACATGGAGGAACACTCTTACATTGTCAATATTATTTAGAAGACTTCAACCTCAGACTTTTTAAAAAGTTGAATGGAAACATCATGTTGGCATACAAATAGATAATTACCAGCCAATAAAGAGAGATAGGAGAGGGGTGTATGTCAACACTGTCGCCTGATGCTGTCAAAATATGCACCTATTTGCAGACTAGCACTGCCTGTTCTACAGTGAGAGAGTAGACTGCCTGTGCTACAGTGAGGGAGTAGGCTGCCTGTGCTACAGTGAGGGAGTAGACTGCCTGTGCTACAGTGAGGGAGTTGACTGCCTGTGCTACAGTGAGGGAGTAGACTGCCTGTTCTACAGTGAGGGAGTAGACTGCGTATTCTACATTGAGGGAGTAGACTGCCTGTTCTACAGTGAGGGGGTAGACTGCCTGTGCTACAGTGAGGGAGTAGACTGCCTGTTCAACAGTGAGGGAGTAGACTGCCTGTTCTACAGTCAGGGAGTAGACCGCCTGTTCTACAGTCAGGGAGTAGACTACCTGTTCTACAGTGAGAGAGTAGACTGCATGTGCTACAGTGAGGGGGTAGACTGTCTGTGCTACAGTGAGGGAGTAGACTGTCTGTTCTACAGTGAGGGAGTAGACTGTCTCTTCTACAGTGAGAGAGTAGACTGCCTGTTCTACAGTGAGGGAGTAGACAGACTACAATAGCATTCGAACAGGCTAAGTTTAACATAAAGAAATTATAGCATGAAATCCGACCAAAACAGGTAAAGCATGTCAGCAGAATTCCGAAACTGCTACAAATCGGATTAAAAGGTACTTGAATGAAGCAACTTAAAGAATTGAGATATCGAGGAAGCACTCGTATTTTCTCGGAGGACGGGGGAATAGATCGGGAACAAGAGGTCAACGAGCCAGTGCAAATATTATAAAACAACTGATGACGTTTTTAAGAAATCCAAACATAAGTATAGGCGCCAAGAAACAGATTATAAACAGCATAATCATACCGACACTGTGCTACCAATGTCATACTTGGACATTATCAAAGGACAGCCTAGGTAAAGTTAGCACCTGCCAAATAAGATGCCTGGCGAAAGCTGCCAAATTAAACATCAGGACGAAGTAAGAAATGATACTGTCAGACGAACTGTGACAACAACACCATGCACTACATTTACTGAAAAACAGAAAATCAAATGGTTTGGTCATCTCTTAAGATTTCAACAACAACTACCAACACAGGCGCTACACATAAACAGTAAAATGTGAAAGCAAGAGCTCACACTAGGAGCATGGATTGATGACATTGAATAATTTCTACATCAGTGGTTCTCAACCTTGCTAAGGCCACGACTCTTCAATACAGTTCTTCGTGTTGGGGCGACCATCAAACATACAATTATTTTCGTTACTGCTTCATAACTTCAATAAATATGTGTTTTCCGATAGTCCTAGGCGACCCCTGTGAAAAGGTGGTTCGACCCCAAAAAAGGGTCGCTGTCACTTAATGTTGGTGTCCCGTGTCTTTGTTAGGGTTCCCCTAATGAACCAAAAGACACTCAAGTAGTTGAGATAATGGCTCGCAATGGTCTAAGCGGTAACCCGCAGCTCCAATGAACTTCCAATCTACTTCAGGGGTGAGGGGACTCAAATTGTGTCACTACAGAATCAGTAAACATTCCTAGGCCCAACTTGGACCGACTCCTCCCCCAACCCCCCCCCCCCCCCAACCCCCCCCCCCCAATCCCAGCTTCTAATCCCCCAGACTATATAGTAATTCTATGCTAGTCATGTTAACACAGTATAACATGAAGTATAACAGTACAACAGATACTCCAGACAACTTAAGAACTGGAAAGGATGGACGCTAACCATATAATGTGAAATTTAAAAATAACACACATCATGTAATCAGCGCAACACATGTTGAAATATCAAGAATAAAATTCATCAAGATCAATTGAACAAGCTAAGTAAGCAAAGAATATATTACTGCAGATGGACTCCTCCATTGTCCCTAGTAACATCAAGTGTAATCGCTGCCAAACAGTGGAATTTTGGACCTAGGCAACTGGCAACTGGCACTGAGTGTTAGAGTTAACTGCAGGTACTGGTGATCCAACTTATCTGTCAAGGATGATCTCTTTAGTTGACTTGAGGTCTCGTCCCACATCAGGCAGTGCAGGATTGAAGTCTTGTGAATTTCCTCTTGAATATCATGTCTCAGCATTCACGAAAATTACAGAAATTGTGTTGTCTATCAAATATCACTTATGAAATAGTCTTACTGTTCCATGGTATCTCACGGAAAAAGCTTTGGGCTATCTTAATTTGACCAGGCATGGGATTTACATGAGTGTGATCCTCAGATGCACTTTTATGTTGTGTTCTGGTGGTCACAGCAGCAATATGCTCAGAAGGTGTAGGAGGATTCGTGAAATATAAATCGTTTGCATCTAAAATTGGGGAAAATGTACAGTTTTCTAGGACTGTGGAATCAATTATCCCAGAGACACACTTAGATTTGACCGCTATCTTAGCAATGGGCAAGTTCAAGGGTTGGACATCCAAAGTCGCCTATTGGGGCTCAATAAATTCACCAGTATACTTACCAGGTCTCACTATTCCAGGGTTCAACCTGCTAAATAGCTAAGCCCTGAATCATAGACACACAAAATGGATCGTTCGTTTGTCCAGACAGTGTCTACCACGTATGGCCCATTGGAACAATAATAGAGAGTTTCCGCATTAAAAGGCCCAATAGTAATCAATGCTAATTTAAATAGATTATGAATTTCGTAGCTGCTTCTCACACTCCATTTCCCGCAGTCCGCATCTTTGATGGGTCCAAAGATTCGTCGTTTATATATTTTTATCTTGGTGTTGCTAAACAGAAACTTTGTCTTTAGCAGATGTTGAAGGGCATAGTATATCATACTTCCAGATTGTGTTCTAGGCTGTAGTTCTTCTCTCAGCATCCATCCGAAATCGAGACTTAGGTGTCTGTTTCATAATGAAATGAAGTTTTAGGAAGGCAGGGGTGTCGGTACCATGCTTCAACCCCCCAACCTGGAGGACCAGAGTGTATCTCTTTGTCTGTTCTCTACCGTTCGACTTTTCTGGCTTGGGAGGTTCTGCTTTTACCTACGCTAACGCTGGCATAGCTCTCAGGGTCATTGAGAAACACAAGCTCCCCCACCGCGGCAAGGTAGAGACACCTTCGGGGGAGTTTGAGGGCATACAAGTTAGTTGCGTATCCTTTACAGGACGTTAAAGAGCCAACCCCAGCATTTTTTTAGCTGTTTTAGTTTTTTAGGCTAATTTACGTCCAGTATTTTGGTAGTTTCTGGACGATTAGCTTCTCAAAACCACTGTTGAAACCAACGAAGGCGCAAGTATGTGTATATAGATATGATATATATAGTACTTCTTCCAAATCAGGCTCATCAATATTTGGTTCACATGTTAGTGGCGTAGTACTTTTCCTGTGGATAAGTGTTTAGTGGAGTTTCACAATTTAACAATTCAGCAAAGTATTCCTTCCATCTGTTACACATTTCTTCATTATTATTGATCATGTTCCCATTGTGATGTTTTAAACTCTCTGGGTTCGTTGTTCTGATGGTTAGATTCAAGTCCATGACAATGTTGTTCATGTATTTCGGTTTTGCTGCCTAACAACTTTCCTAGCTTCCTTACATTCTGTTCCATGTTTTTCTTTGTTTTGTTTATTGCTAGTATTATGAGGTCACATCTGCCTGGCTTCCCCCAGAGGTCATGATCTTGTAGTGGTGGGGGAGCTTAAGAGCCTCAATGATCTAATGAGCTATGCCGGCGGGAACGTATGTTCCTGGCAGGGTCACCCAAGCCGGACAAGTCATTGATGAGGGGCCAGACTGAAGATGGCCTCCCGGTTCTCCAGGCTCAGGGGTTGGGCGCAGTGTTGACAACTCTGCCCTGTAAAAAATCTACAACGTTACTGAAACTTCAAGAGAAAAATAAGTGCTCTAAACGTCCGGTGGTCTTGGGACAGAGTCCCTCTGTCAGCATGAACAACATGGGTGAAAGCCGAAAGGAAGCCCATGATGGGAAAACAAGTCTGCTGGATGTCAAAACCAAATTAAGAATTGGCTTCTGGAATGTAAGAACCATGTTTGAAACGGCCAAAACCGCCCAAGTAATTAAAGAAATGCAGAACTATAAACTGCATATTCTTGGAATCAGTGAAAGCAGGTGGACAGGGTTTGGACAATCCACAACAGGCACAGGAGAAACCATAATATACTCTGGAAGAGATGATAACCTACATTCTGCAGGCGTAGCACTTATTTTAAAGAAAGGTATACACAAACATCTCATCGAGTGGCATCCAATCAATG